TGTTGTGGCATATATATTCATAAAAGTATATCTAATACCATATAATTCAGTATCGATAGCTACACCCCTCTGGCTACCTCTAGCCAGAGGGGTGTTACCATTTTGATACGAAATAATCTCAAAATTAAAATACTTTAACAACAGTCAGATCACCTACTATGATCCAGCACTATAAAAAACCTTTCCTACCCAATCCCTCTGAAATAATGAAGAGTCCTTTTTTTCCCAGGTGGGTCTCCTGCAAGAACACCAGATCCCTTTTTTTCAGTTTTAAATATGTGGACAGCAGAGGTTCAGTGGCAATATATTTATATTGTATTCTAGTCTTAAGTCCTTGTGACATCTTTTTAGGTTTGGCCTTTTACAATTAAATTGAATGTATGAATCTTAAAAAATGTTTTTAGATTGATTGCATATTATAAAATACCTTATAGAAAGAGGACACTGCCTACTGTAGTTCTAGTGAAAAGCCTGGACTTCATATTCTTGAATCAAGCTTTTTCACAACCAATCCCTATTTTGCAGATGCAGAGCAGTGTAAGTATGGCAAGAACCGGGTGGAGGCCGACGCCAAGCGGCTGCAGACTAAAGAGGGAGAGCTGATGAAGAAGAAGCAGGAGATCAGGAACCATCTGACCCAGCTGAAGAAGGAGAGGAGAGACCTGCGCACTGCAGTAGAGACTTCACCTGGTAGGACTAACTAGAGTTTACAGGAACATCTTGAATAAAATTAAAAAACATTCACAAATATTTTCCCCTCTCCTCTTGAACAAGGCAAACGTTCACTGGCCTCTCTGACGGAGCGACTGAAGAAGGTGGAGGAAGACTGCAGGCAGAGGGAGGAGGAGCGGGTGACCCTGGAGCTGGAGCTGACAGAGGTGAAGGAAAGCCTGAAGAAAGCCCTGAGCGGGGGGGTTACCCTGGGCCTCACCATTGAACCAAAGGCTGGCTCCTCTGGAGTCAAGGTAAAACACTGTTACTGTCTCAGGTTGTTAGTTTTATATAAACTGCATGGCACAATTCATAATTTCCCCTGTGTGTGTGTGTGTGTGTGTGTGTGTGTGTGTGTGTGTGTGTGTGTGTGTGTGTGTGTGTGTGTGTGTGTGTGTGTGTGTGTGTGTGTGTGTGTGCGTGTGTAGTCACCGGCTATGTTGCGAAAGAAACAGGAGTCTTCCCCTTTCTCCAGCTGTGACACCAGTGACACAGAGTCGTGCTCACTGCCCGTCAACAGCGCCTCGCTTCTCCGCAGGCAGCAGGGCCAGAAGGCGCCGGCGGTCCGGGGCCACGTCCTCAGGAAAGCTAAGGTCAGAGGTCACAGGCAGACAGGGGCCACAGCAATGTGTAATAGCTCTGTGTAATAGTTGTCTTGTTTTTCAGCATACCTAATTCTGTGTGCCTGGCAAGCCCACTTGAATGTGCCACACTTATCGTGCTTTTCTTATTCCTCTAGTATGTATTTTTGTTGTGCTAACAGTTGTGCAGTGTTAAAACGATATGCACAGTAAAAAAAAAAAAATGCAGTAAAAGTACAAAAAACTGTGAGTAGAATGCTTCCCTTTGGGAAACAAGGAATCCATGAACAAAGCTCAAAACCATCCTTCATAGCAATTGTGCATACTTTAACATAGAACAATGATTAAACGTTAAAACTGTTCTTCAGACTAAGGACTTTATTGGACTAAAAAGGTATTTTGTTGGCTAGCACAAAATGACAGTTTATGTTTGTTTTCCAGACTTCTGACAGTGGGTATGTCTCTATAATCTTCAGTCAGTTGCTCACTGCAGTGGAGACGGTTTTAACATCCAAGTTATTTAAATATTGCTCCTGTTACCAAAATGTTCACTCTGTATACGGTATATTATTTAAATTCACAAACGTAGGTCCATTTGTGATGGTTGCAGATATGTTACAAAGGACTCAAACTGACTCACACATTCTGCTGGAGGGGGGCTAAAAGTGGCAGAAACTCTAACTACATGCCATGCAGAACCCAAACCTTTCTGTAGGACAGCAGAAGGCTGTCACCATCCATATTCTCAACACCACAATACAATGACATTTAGTCTGTAAGCTCATAGTATTTTAGAGGTACTTCTTTTGATATCTACTTGTAATAGTAATAGTTAGCTTGTATGCACAGTCAACATTTCAACATTTCAAAATAGGTTTTTGAAATGTTTCAACATCTCTTAATTTATCACATTTACATTATTTGACTCTACTTGTTTGAACATTTTTCAATATGCGATAGTACTGCTGATTAAATAATTATTGATTCTAAAGACTGATATTGGAGATAACCTTTTTGTTTTGTGTGTTTGTTTTTCAGGAATGGGAGCAGAAGACAGGCACATAAACCCCCCTCCTCACATCAGTCTTATCCTTTATTACTTTTCAAGAAATGTGTGTATATATTTATTTAAAACTTTTCATAGGGTTAGGGTTAGCGTTTGGTAACATGGCAATCACATGAACAGAAGCAGTTGTTGCTTTTAGTGTCCTGTCAGTACTACAACCCTTTAAACTGAGTCACCATGGAGATGTGCAACCTGTGTCCTTTAGTTGTTTTCTCAGAAGTCTGTTCCAGCAGATTGACAGTGTGGATTCAAAAAGGTGAAAACCAAGTATTTATTTGTAAAGGTTTAGAGCAAATACTAGCTCCCTTTGTTTATTTATGTTGATATATTTAAAGTTTGATTTTGATGAATGAGTTGCGCTTAACAGAGTCCCATCTCCTACAAGGTCACAGGTCAGCTTCTGCTAACAAAATGCATTCAAATAATCATAACCCACAGCAGCATTTATCAGATCAGTAAAAGTAACATTAGCATTGCCCAGTCGCTCCCCAGATTATCTTAACTCTGAGAAAGCACAATTAATTGTGGAGTTCCATCTGTATGGCTGGATTAATGCAAAGCTGTCTCGTTGCAGAAAGAAAAAAACATTTTTGATTAAAATCACAATTTGACATTGTATTCACAAACCTGTCTCATTCCATTAATAACAACAGATATTATTTATTTTCTTGATCAAGGTTGGGACAGTTTAAGGACATTTTTACAGACAAATTATGAATGATGTAATTCATTAATACAATGTGTTTTATGAGTTATTACATGAACACAAATTATACCAATACTGATCTTGTATTTTTACTCAAAGAAATACAAGTACAACAAAGCTTGTAGCGTTGCTATCAAAAAAAGACTCAATATGGTAACAAACGAGGCGGGCTCCAGACCTCTGAATTACTGCCCAAATCCTTGAATTGGTGCATAGTTTGCTAATGTCTTTTCCCGCTGGTTGAAAAAATCTACCATTTGAAAAAAGTGATATAAAAATGTGAACAAACAGAAATTAGATGGACGCAGCGCTACAGATTACAGAAACTCAAAATTGGAAAGATTCCTCTTCTTTGTTGACCAAAAATGACATTGATAAGACAGATTCACGAACCCCCACTGCAGAAAAGGGGAAACATGATCACAACTTCAGACTAATAAATGAAGTGAAATAGTAATTATCCAGTAATCACAGTTTTGGCAAGCTACAACTACAAATGAAGTGCGATGGTGCCAGTGTGTTTGCGCACCAAGCCTCCAAGTCGCATTCTAAGCCCCTCAAATATAATTTTCAGGAACTCGAGTCACATTTCTATTAGAGCTTTCTAATTGCTTTATATTTCTCTGATACACTGTGTTACGTTGGCTGTCGTGTTTGTACTGCTAGTTTGCTTTGTTGGGATTGTAAACAGAAGTAGTAGTAGCATTCACTACTGATGCTACATACAGCACAGCTAACGGCTCCTCGCTCATGTCAATGCTTTATTTCTTTCTTATTTTCAAACCGATACCCCACAAGTCTGTGAACTAGGGTGTACGCAGCATGTCTACTTGAAGAAAGAGGCTTATAAGAGGTCCTATCAACAAGATTTTAGTAAATGTGGATTCCCTGTTTTCTCAGCATGGCTTATACCCGAGCAAGATGTCTGATGTCAGTAAATGTGAACCTGTTGTACATAGCGTAGCTTTGTGTGGGGGCTTTAGGGGCACTGCATCAGTATTTGTTTTTGCACCTTATACATGTTCTCTATAGTAAACTTAGACAGTCTCCGTCTTGGTGACAGACATACTTGTAAATATTTTAATAAACTTCCTAACAAACCACTCTCAGTGACTGTGTGTTTTATTGGTCCTCAGATGAGGGAGTGTTTCTACTCTGAAATGTCCAGGCAAAGGACATTTCAACTTGCCTCTTATGTTGAAGAACTCCCATGCACTGGCAGAAATCTCAGTGTGAACCCTTTTCCCATTCGATCAACATCACATTTGAAATGGAAAACAAATAAACAAAAACACGGTATCTTCACTAACTATACACAATCCAAGCCTTTCAGCCTCCAACGAGGCACTTGTCAAGGTTGCCCGTTACGTGTGGATCTGGTCATGGAGCCGCTGGCCATCGCACCTCACAGTAGCCAAGATGTTTCTGGGATTTGGAGGGGTGGGGTCGAACATAAACTGTCCCTTTATAAGGACAATCTTTTACTTTTCTTAACAAATTCAGCTACCCAATTCAGTCAGTTTTCAAGGTATAAACTGAATTTGAGTGAACTCTTTGATGTTAATAGCGTGGCACTTGCGTTTGAATATACCATCCTTCCTTTTAAGGTGGTGCAAGATAGGTTTACTTACTTCGACATTACAGTTACTAGAAAATATAAGTTACTTTACTTTCACTCTTTGTTAAATCAGATGAAACAGCGTCTGGCGTAGTGGTCCCCCTTTTCTACGTCTTTGGTAGGCCATATTAATTATATAATGATGACTATTCTCCCTGAATTCCTGTACCTTTTCCAAATGATACCAGTTTTCATTTCTAAATCATTCTTTGACTTCATCTTATATTTGGAGGTCACGTAGAACTGCTCGGATTACTAATACCTTGAATTGTAATCCGATTGCTAGACCCACAGTGAGGGTCTAGCTCAGTTAAAAAAAAACTTCGACTTTCATGGTTTCTCTCTCTTAATCTACTCTATCCAAGCATAATATTTGTGTATTGTATTTTATAGTTTTTGCATAATATATCATTTTGTTCATTGGTTTGTTAAACATATATTACTTAAAAATCAGTTTTTAAAAAATATCGTTATATTGAAGATGAAAATATCCTTAGTTTGTTGTAATTCATGCATGAAGGAGTTCCTAACCCTAACCTACACTGATGGAACTTTGCTATTTTGTAATTATTTATATAGGCTTTTTCTATCAAAAATGTTCGGGGTCGGTCAGGGGGTACTTGGCTGAGAAGATGTTTGAAAAGGGGTACATTACTGAAAAAAGTTTGAGAAGCACTGCTCTCGGGGGGTCCGGGGGCATGCTCCCCTGGGAAAATATTTTTTTTAATATTGAAGTTAAATGCATCAATCTGGTGCACTTTGAGA